AATGTGAAACCACGTATCTCCGTTTGTGACGATGCAAATTTCCTGGCCTAGGAGGAGATATGGATGGTTGAAGTCTTAAAGTTACGAAAACAGCGTAAAGTATTTTAGGCGGCCTATAATTGACCTATTTCCTTAGATTGTGATCGGAGTTTTTTTTTTTTTTTTTCACGAAATAGAGTAAGGTGACTGCCCAGACGTGCACTCAACCATTCAGCTCGTTCATAATCCGGTAGATTTCAATTCCGATGTGCTTCGAATATCGGCGAGAATTTTTCAACGAAGCGCCGGATTTTCCGCCAGGCAATTTGAATCCTCGTTTGAACTTGGTCAGGCGACTTCACGGACCTCGCCCAAATTCGCATCGATGAACAGAGCGGAGTGAAGTTCTCGGAAGTTGCGCCGCGGGAATAAATCAAATTATCCTTGGAAGTTGCCTCAATTTCATTGAAGTCACTTAAATATTAAAGCGAGAAAAAGAGTCGGACTGTGTAGCTCCGGGAGTTTGCGAAAGTGCCGGACTCGGAGCGCGGGAATCCGTTCTGCAGCTTACAAAACAGCGTAACTCCATTTCTACGCGAGCCGTGGAAAGTGTTTAGTGGCACCGACGGCGGGGCTCTTGGGTGAAGTTTGGTTACGCGCTTTTGTCAGAAAAGCGACAAATTCTCGATCCGGCTCCTAGTTGCCCGGTTTTGTCTCGCTGTCTCGGATACGTCTTGCTAGCCACAGGTGTCAGATCTCATTAATTTTCATTAAATTCCGCTAAATTTTACAACATTCGCACATGCACGACTGAGCGAGGTTGGACATGATGTACATGAGCGAGTTCCTCATTTTTTTAAGTCGCGTGAAATTTTTTAAGTTACATAAAATTTTATATATTCTCGAGATAAATGAGCTAAATTATTACCTGCACTGAAGAAAGTGTGGTTTTAGGTACAATGATGTGAGTATGGCAATCACCAACAGACTCTACGGTAGCAAATACCGTAAATTTAAATGTCTTTATTACACTCCCCAAAAAATTGCCATAATTATTTTTTAGGATAAGTCTATTTAAAGTAATCTTATCAAAAATACGCAATAAGAACGTGAAAAGTAATTCCTACAAGTTCACTGTCATTTTGAGCAACGAAAATTTCTGCAATTAACTTGTGACTGAGGTATGTGACTTTTTCGATGTGTAAATTTGAGCCTCCCAATCATGAAAAAACAATACACTACATCAGTCAAATCGCGCGCTAAACGTTGCCGAAGAATCTCCGCGGCACGAAAATATGACAAACTCTACCTTGGCGCTTCGACTCAGTTGTTGCCCGTTGTTTACTTTGTAAACAACTTAGGAAAGGGAAGGGACACTGCGACTGCGTGACTAAGAAGACTGTCGAAACCGTTGTAAAGCACAATTTGACTTACGAGAAATATTGTTTTTTTGTGAGCGGGCGATTCAAATATCCAGTAACCAATGTGAACTGAAAACATTAATGTCTTATTTAACCCTACTAATTTACTCAGATAAAGTCGAATACTTAATTTTGACTCGAAATGTCATTTCAGGTTCCTCGTTACGTTCAAATATGAGAACCACTCATCATTTTACATTCAACGGATGCAGCGCACATGACACTCAAGGTCAACGCATCGGGACTCCTCTCTCCGTTGGTCGCGGTCGGATCAATATAAAACGCCTTCAATTGCGTGTGATACCGTGCAACACACCGAAGTTAAAATAGTTGTATTCTTAGGTTGGAACCTAACTCGAGTCGATTGCTCTCCAGTAGCGTGGCGTGCATTGCGATCTATCGATATTTCCCTATTTGAAGCTGTAGTAAATAATCGATTATTAAGGTGCTCGTTGCGAAAACCTCTTTTATCGATAATTTTCCACAGGTTTAGATGGCAGATCAATCGATTTATCGCAAAGCACGCCACGCCAATGGTACTCTCCACATACAGGTGTTCTAGGCGAAATCAGCATCACCCTGCCAAAAATAAATTCTGAACAATTTAGTTTCTAAGTTTGAGTTTATTTAGTCGCATTAAATAGTTGGCTTTATTTAAGGCGCATTCATAAGTCGGCCTTTTTTCAGTTTGTCTTGAATCAATACAGGATTATGACTCGCTAAAATATCAGAGGAAATATCGCTACCTTCCGGCCAAAGTATTACAAGCGCCATGCGACGTTGAAAAATTTCCGCCGCCATGTTATTTTTTTACAGATGCCTACATTGTTAGTTGAATCTGTTTGAAAATTTCACAGAATTTTATCGGCAGCACACAATAACTTTAGTAAAATTTTCGGACAGCTTCGTTGAACAATTTCTCTGTAAAATAATAATATGGTGGCCAGCGTTCGAAACTCGCAGGCGCCAACGCGCCAAATGCGCCTAAGAAATCGGTCATGGCGCCTAAAAAATGACGACTATGCGCCATCATGGCCCTTAAAAGTCCCCCCTCCCCCCCCCCAAATAAAAAATCCTAGTTTTTCTGTTTATTGATTTTTCGAAATTTCCCCCAAGTAACAGCTACTAGTTCTGTAACTAAAACATCTTGCGTCTAACTTGTCACTAAATGCGCCTTGATACAGAGGCAAAAAGTCAATTTGGCCCCTAAAAAATCTTCAATGGCCCCTAAAAATCGAGCTTGATGCGCCACATGGCTCTGGAAACTCCAAAGTGAGTCTCGAACAGGCGGAAATTTTTAAACATCGCATGTCGCTTGTGATACTTTGGCCGGAAGGTGACGATATTGTCAGAATATTCTGTTACATAAAATATATTTAACCCGACAACGGCGCAAAGACTGGAGTCAGTCGTAAAGTGACTGGAGCCTCATCAGAACGAACCCCCGGAGAGAGGCAAGGGAACTTGTTCGAAACTTTTATCTTAACGATACATAAAAAATGACTTGCGATAATGTTCTCAGACGCTCTATACTTAGCCTTGCATTAGCACTGTAAATGCACGTTCTTAAACTTCAACTCCCGCAAATCTAATATCTTAATGACCCTGAAGTGCGACCGCTGAAAGTTTTTTTATAATTTTCCTCTCCTTTGAGTTTCCGATATTCATTACACAGTGGAAACCGGAGACCTGGTGATAACTTCGACACGGGTCGAATCTTTTTACTGCCGAGAGTGGTGTTCTAGACCTACATTATTTGTATAAATATGACAAACTCTATCTTGGCGCTTCGACTCAGTTGTTGCCCGTTGTTTATTTTGTAAATAACTTAGGGTAGGGAAGGGACACTGCGTGACTAAGAAGCCTGTCGAAACCGCTGTAAAGCACAATTTGACTCACGAGAAACATTGTTTTTATGTGAGCGGGCGATTCAAATTTCTAGTAACCAATGTGAACTGAAAACGTCTTATTCAACCCTACTATTTTACTCAAATAAAGTCGAATAATTTATTTTAACTCGAAATATCATTTTAGGTTCCTTGTTAAATATGAAATATATTATTATATATTAAATATTCAAATATGAAAACTACTCATCACTTTACATTCAACGGATGCAGCGCACATGGCACTCGAGGTCAACGCATCGGGACTCCTCTCTCCGTTAGTCGCGGTCGGATCAATGTAAAACGCCTTCAATTGCGTGTGATACCGTGCAACACACCGAAGTTAAAATAGTTGTATTCTTAGGTTGGAACCTAACTCGAGTCGATTGCTCCAAGATATGAGACTAGTTAACCTGTTTGACTGCTGTCTATCAGGTTACCTTGTGTATTTAATGCGTATTATTGCCTTTGATAAAAATTTAAGCCTGAATTGATTTGAAAAGAAAGGAGTATCACAAATTTGGCCAACAAATGCGTCTTGCCTGAGGAGTCTTGCACATCTTACATCCTGCTGTGATAAAAGCGAAAGGCGATTTAACGGTGTTTTCATGTGTTTTTCGTAGATTTGCTGGGTGTTCAAATTGTTACTGCCGTATAATTGACATTTTTGTCAAATTTTAGCTTCTTAACAATGTTACTGTGAGCCGCCATCTTGTTTGTTTACTTACGGCCGTAAGAGCATCATGTGGCCTAAAAACTCGTTGACCAATCAAAAAGCGGCACAATTTTCCTGTAGTAAAAAGATATGAATGGCCATACTTTGTCTATAAAGGTACTCTACTATACAACACATGAGAGATACCACTTAGTCTCAGTCTCTGGAGGTAGATAAGAAAAGGCAACATCTCTTTGAGCAGAAAAATTCTATAAACGATGTATATCAATACTGCGGAAATGTTGTTTTTGAGGAACATTAATTAAGGAGGTAGGTGCAAGCAAGCTCTCAACCTAAAAACAGCCTTTTAAGAAAACAACCCCCAAAGTTTTTTCCCATTTATGTTAATTAATGACTCAATCATCTCATTTACTTTAATCTGTGCTTTAACTTTGTACACAAGTGCAGTATATCATAATTAAAATTGAAAATATGAACTTCTGGACCGTAATAAAGAAAGGATAAGTCGAACGGATGGTATTGAGGGGTTTCCATCCACAAAATAAGTTTGGACACTTTCAGAAGTTTACCGGCCCCAATTTAGTCATGGAAGTAAATAAAGTAATCACAATGGTGGATTCTTTAATAGTGTTTAAGCGTATTTGACATAAACCGGACACTCCATGTGGATATAAAGGGTTAGGCTAGCTAAATCCCTACTAGATCAATTTTCCTCTACTAAGATCCAAGTCTTTCACTTAATTTTTTAAAGTAAATCTATGCAATTATGCAAGACAAATTTTCAAGATGTATGGAATAGAAAACATTGCTCAATGTATTTGCATGAGGACTAATTCTCTACTAAAATCCAAGTCTTTTGCATACTTTTTTAAATTAATCGATGCAATTTTGGAAAACAAATCTTCAAGATGTAAGGCCCAGAAAATACTGACCTATGTAAGCCAGAAGGGATAAGGCCCTTTGAGGTTTGAGGGCTCTCTTGAGCCTACCTCCTCAAATTCTTCGGCTATATAGAGAACATTAAAAAACTCAACTCACCCATTGGTGCGTCCACCGATTTCTCCTGTCCCGCTTCCATTCTGTGAACACAACATAAAAGAACGTAAGTGAATGGTGTATTTACCGTCGAAATATGATTCATACAGACAATTTTTTAAAACCACTTGTGGCGATGTAAGTTCGTTCATTATGGTCGCTGGATAGCGCATTTGTGAGAAAGGTGCATTTCACAGCGTTTCAGTGCTGAACGGTGATATAAAAGCGTTCTTTTGTACCACAAGACTAGCGTCTCGATTGAGGTCTATGTTTCTCGATACAAGTAAGTGATTTTTTCCATAGTGTGTGTTTCCCACGCATTGATTTCAGAATTTCTACGGAAACATTGAGGTACGTATGGATGACTTTTCTCCAGTCAATAAATTGAGATTTGAAAACATTTAGAGAAGATCAATGTACGACAAATGTCCCATGATGTATTGTTCATCTGACATGAAGCAAGCGAGTACTTGGGATTATGCTGGTTCAATTCTTGAATCAGTAAGAATTTTCGATGCGAGACCAGTATGAAAGGTTTTATCCCGTTTCAAATTTATTACCGTGTTTGCGTTACTTGATCCATATACTGCACGACTACGTAAGCCACGGTTAAGAAAAATATGAAAATAAAATCTATTATTGGTTGCATCAGTAATGGTAACGATACTTGAGGCAAAAACAGTCTTTTCCGCAAAAGAATAGAGAAAAAAATAACAACTGGTTTCAACGTCCGCTAAACTTTCATACTTTTTTAGTTTAATAACTTGAAGTATCCCTGAGGGAGAACTTCGACGCTTGCAGTTAAAGTCGCACACCCCCTCGTTTCCTAGTCAAGAGCCCGCAATCAATATCGGGTTACATGGCTGGAAATCGAACCCGAGACCCCCTGATCATGGAGCCAGCACTAAAACAACACGGAGAAAAATTTTCTGTTGTATCAACATAAATTTCATTAATAGCCCGGATGAGAATTAAGCAACAGGAAATCTTCTTGTTTCACATGGTATTTCTGTTATTTCTGAGAAACATCCTGTCTTTATAAATTTATTTCCGGCCAAATCAGCGAGAATTATTAACAGGGAAATTTTTTTGAAAGTGCTGCCGTACTAAAGAAAACGTCGTATGAACATTCGAAGGTTGCTAGATTTCCGGGAATAAAATATTTATTTTTGAGCAAACATATGGGTCTCTTTCCTTGAAATGTTCAGGTACTTTAGAATAAAATGCGAACGAAATTCTCTGCAAAATTGGAGGAAAACGATTCACTAATTTGCTCAAAAATTTCTTATTTGTCGAAGGAAATCTGGCAACGTCTGAAGTCTCATACAGCGTTTTTTCTTAGCACGGCAGAGTACACCAAGGAGGCCGACAAAGACTGCTTTTAAGTACAAACGATCATTACTGTGTGTCAAACTCATCAAATTTTTATCAAATTTCTTCAAACTTCCAAAGTGTGGCTTGTTCTAAAGGGTAAGTGTTTTATACATATTTTCTGTAAAACATTTCGTAACACTAAAAGCGGTACCGAGGGTCTTGGGTTGGAATTTCCCTCTTGTTTTGTTTTGATCTTCAAAACACGGCTTGGATGCTAAATTATTCATCTGGCTTTGGGCGATTAAGTGACTTGAAATTGCGGCAACGATCCAGCGGCGCGGCGTGCTATGCGATACATCGATCGCTCTGCCGTTTAAACCTACGGAAAAGGATCGATACACAGGGTGTACCTTAATAATCGATTCTTTACCACAGCTTCAAATGGGGGAACATCGATGATCGATCATTCACGGCTCGATCGAATGGGTTAGCCGAGGCTTTGAGCCTTTGTTCGCGCCTCGTAATGAGAATCATTCTCGACAAAAGGAGGCTGAAGTTATTCGAGGGCATACTAAGGAAGAACGCCGTATGAACATTCAAGGGTTGCCAAATTTCCTTCGATGAAATGTTTATTTTCGAGGAAAATTATGAATATCTTTCCTTGAAATTCTCAGAGGTTTTAGATCAAATTACAAACAAAATATCTGAGAAATTCGTAGAAAAATATTCCAAAATTCTCCTGAAAACTAGTGATTTGCCAAGAGAAATTTGGCAACGCTTGTAGGCTCATACGGCGTTTTTCCTCGGCACGGCAGCATAAAACAGACACACTTGCTCCGACTCGGGCTAAGATGAGGAACGATTATACCGCGGCTGGAAATTCTCCGCGCCGAGTTAGGCCCAGAATCCCTCCCCCCACCCCCACCCTTCGCCTTAACACACGCCTCCTTAACGGCGATAAATCAACTTTAACTTGCGGCAAAACGCAGAGCAGACCCCTTGAGCCGAGGTATCGATCAAAGCAACCCTCTCAAAAATTCATCCGGTCGCTTCTTCGCGAGCGCTCTTAATTTCGCCTCCTCTCTCGGTATTGACAGAGTAAGCAATAGCTCTGGAGATCAGAGACTTGAAATCGATGAGATAGAAATGGATAACGCTAAGCGAGCCGCGCTTACATCTATATTGGACCTTTTAAGACAGAGCCTATCGGCCCAGCGGAAAATGAGGGTTAAAACGATCGTATTTTGAGATGAGGAACTACTATTTCTAGCTCACTTTAGGAGCAACGGACGTGCCACTAGTTTCCTAATGCGTATTCTTTCTTTTACAGATGAACCAAAACTGTGGTACCACGCTGTTGTGAGTTCAATTGGACTTCTTGCATGCCTCCATGCCGTGGAGATTTGCCATTTGAACCGCGTTTATCAGAAAGGAACCACGAGCTTGTAGCTTGGGAAGATACACCGAAAATAAGATTTGTAGAATTTACCATTCCTTCACGCTGTATTTCGCACACCGTCACTTTTGAGTCAATTCGGCAAGAAGAAAGGTAAATGTTACTATGTACTGGTACGGGTAACCATTCCTCTGGCAGAATCGACTTTGAAATTCACACTGTGTGAAATACAGCGTGAAGGAATGGTAAATTCTACCAATTTTTTTTCAGTGTGTAAATGTATGGAATCCCCTCCGCTGAGCCTAAACTTTGAGAGCTGCTTCTGAACTTGGGAGTTCGTTTCAGAGAAAACCATTGGCACCGTCGTGTTTATCGCGAAATTTTGAATGAGAAGAAGTAAATGAACTGCAAATCCCTGTGGCAGGCTCCATTTACTCGGATGAGGGGTGAGTATCAGGAGTAATCTGTGCTAGAATCTCTCCGGATGGAGGATCAACATTGAAATATTCTCTTGGACGTCCTTGAGCACACAATGTGTTTCTCCTTCCACCGTATGTTGCTAAACTGCTTTCAAGCGGGACTTGTATTTGAACCAAACGAGTATCATCTTTAGGAAGGCTGTATTTTGACTGACAATGAGTGGCTACGGAATTTAATTGAGTATTTGGTGGTTACTGCGGAGTTCTTGCTCTCCGGTTGCCAAAAATCGAGTATTTCCTCTTCCAATTTTATATGCGCCCTTTGCTAACATGTTGACAGCAGATTCCGGTCACAATTCTGCAAGTCAGTAAATACTATGAGTTTTCTGACTTAAAAATGTTTAACTTCAAAGGGATGCGATCGTGTAAGCGTCATCACTGTGCGCATATTTTTTTTTAAAAAAAAAAAAAAAATCTGAGAAAATGGATACTCATATAATGAGGATAAAAAATGTGTAATTATAAGATCGAAATAAATCAAAGGATTATTATATCCAAATTTGATGTGAGTGCCGAAAATAGGAGACGAAAGATAGAGGAAGTCGCGCGATTTTGAAAATACACCAATCAAGTTTCCTCGAGTTTCCTTAAGTTTCCTTGAGTTTCCTTAGTAGCTTTTAGTCCGGAAAGTACGTAAAGGCATACCTGATTTCTCCGTGAGCCCTGTGCTCTGTATAACTCTATGCTTTCCGGGGCTGATTTAATAATGTAGATACGCCCTTACGTCAGAGAAGTGACGAATTTCAGCCCAATTGTGGTAAATAATCAAGTTATAATAAGTGCAGCCGTTATCGATTTACGGTTGCACGGACCATGAATCGCGGAAGAGGGATTCCGCTGCCGAAACCGTGGTCGAAGCGCTACGGATTACTGCGGACGCCTTCTTGCCTCCTTAGCGATTCGTGTTTACATGGAAGCTTATATTACAAAACTATGAACTTGCTTTTTAATGGATAATTTTTGTTTTAAAAAAATAAGAGAAAATTCATGTAGACAAAGTGTACCCTATACTTTTTAAAAATGCACAAAGTGAAAATTCCAGATATTTCGCAGTAAGCATTACTTGTTAAGAAGAGCTTAGGGGTTGGAGGTATCCAAAATTAGACTTTACGTACAGAATTGACTGCCTCATTATGTAGAAAACCAATTTTATTCATGTCACTTTCATCTTGATCTTTTGCAAGTATTTGGCACTTAAAAGCAACGTGTGCGGCTCTAGTTTTGTAACTCCTAGTTACACTCACATTTACAGCTACAGTTTACATTTACAGTTTACCCTTAACATTTATGAGTGTGCAAAACAAAATCTGAGCAACATTTCGCCTCGAGCCTTGGAACTTTCGTGAGTTCTCTTTGCGACTCACGCCCGCAAATGAACGTACTCACAAGATTTCAAGGCAAAATGTTTCCCATTGTTAATTTCTTGTGGGGAAAAAATAAAACAAGAGAGGTCATTACGCGACATGTGATTCATTTTGGCTGATTATGGTTGATATTGGCCAGTTTTTTATTAACAGCTAAAATTAAAACGTCCACTTAGGTTCATGTAAATTTTTTTAATTCTTTACGAAACTACTCGTTCAATTATGAGGCTTCGATACCATGGAGCATCGAATCATATTCAAATCATGCACAATAATTGCGAGCATAAAATATGCAGAGTTGCCGTTACATCGTGAATTCGTTTCATTTTTTACGGTTTCCATGCAGGCTAAATTAGGAAACGAAGCGCATATTGGCAATTCTGTTAATTATGTATGTCTTATCGGGAACACATTTCCAATTATCCTTTCAGGTTTCTAATTCACTCGGCACGTAGGAATTTTTTAAATGAAATTACTTTTGGCGGGCTGTCCTAATCTCGCCATCGTACAATCATGCTGAATTACCTCCCTCTCCTCACCAATCCGCCCACCTACCGCGGAATGATAATTTGCACCATATTGGTACGCTGCTGTGCTAAGGAAAAACGTCGTATGAGCATTCGAATGTTGTCAAATCTCTCCCGAAAAAGTATGATTTTACAAAGAACTTATGGATATTTGCCCTTGAAAATTTCAGATACTTAAGACTAAATTGCAGGTCAAATTCTCTGGAAAGCAAGCAAAATATTCACCAATTTTTCAGGAAATTCGTATCTTATGAAAAAAAAAAAATTCGGCAACATCTCAAGGTTCGTACGACGTTTCTCCTTAGCACAACAGTACGGCACCGCATTTAGCAGTATTTTACTGCTTAATTATATGATTTGCAAAATTCAACGTGAGAAAGAACAAATGCTGCGACCCGTTCAGCTGCTTCCCAAAATTCAGAATTCCTGAAATCCGGTGTGAAAAAGAAAATAACGAATGTAAAAACAGCAGTGTAAAAGCGATGAATTCTTCTTTTACTTCACGAGGTCAGATGTTTCGGTGGTAAATAATCTTTGATTACGTGAATAAGATTGTCGCATTGCAATAAAGCAACAGGCAAGGTACAAATTTGAGCCATCTGATACATGTGTCTAAACCAAAATTTTACTTAAAAGACGATTTACGCAACGAAAATGACTGAAGTTAACACCTAATCAAGATTTTTAATGTTTTGCTTGTGAGCGGGAATTCAAAATCCCCGTTATGAATGTAAAATAAAAACGATCCTTAGTTAGGAGTTGATTAAGTTTTGTTGCACTAATCGTGTTATACGTGAACTTCTGGTGAAAGGAAATGTATCAAATTCTTAAACTCGTAAGTTGTCTACCACTCCATTCAAAAATAATTTTTTGATGTATCAAATTATGCCCGGACAAAAAATTCGCGTGATTGTAGCCATCAAAAATGTAATCTCCCAAATTGTATAGGACTCATTGACAACATGATGATAGGACAAGGCATAATAAGTATGGATAAGTATGGCAAGTTACAATATTGTAAAATGAAGTAAGGTAATAATCACAAAAACTTACCGTAGGAGTTGCAGTGGTCGGGGCTGTATCTTTATTTTTTTCCTCGGCCTTTTTCTTGTTTAGAGTTCTAACAAGTTTCCATTTACTACCCAAGGGGCCATCATCCCCTTTACCACCTGGGTCCTCTTTAATCGGGCTTATGTAACCGTCATTATCGGGGAATTTGAATCTGGGCAAAGAGGGGGTACCTGGACCTACATCAACGACACTCATGTCATCACTGGGGGGAACACTGGCTGAGCCATCTCTCAGCGTGGACGTTTCACTTTCCCAACCAACGCCATCGGGTAGATTCAAGGAGACCTCACTGGGAGGCACGCTTACGGATCCCTCCCTACTAACTGAACCGGAACTTTGAATGCACCTCCCGTTTTGTATTTTCGTAGGCACATCATTCGAGCTCCTCCTGGAGCCGGTGCGTTCATAGTCCTCGAAGTCCTCCATCTCGTCGGCAGACTGATGAGCACTATCAGGTCCTCCGGTGTCACCGGACGAATCGCCTCCAGGTTCCGGCTCTCTCGTTTCGTCGAAAAGGTCCTCGGGTCTTTGGGATTTTGAGGATTTGGGCGTTATTTTCAAAAACGGGCTGTCTTGCTGCTGCTCATTTTCTGTCCGTCCGTCGGCTGTAACAGGGCTATCTTCCGGCAGCTCTGCGATGATAGGAAAAGACTCGTTCTCGGTGTCGAAACTAGGTTCGAATTCAAGCTTAGGGAGCTCGTGTTCTATGTTGGCTTTACGCTCCATCTCTTCGAGTTTCTTCAGCTCATAGCAGTACCACTCGTCTTCGCTGTCTATGCTGTCTTCGGTGCTTTGTCGCCTCGAGGAGACTCTGGATGTGCTTCTCCAAGAATGAGTGCTTCTATTGTCGTCGTCAGTGTCTCCAGAGCCACGCGTTGCCCACGGGATTTCCAAACTTTGCTGATGCCGAGGTGGATGATGTCGCCTATCATGGCTCTGATTTCGGTATGGCGGCGGGACCCCAGGACTGGCCTCAGTAGTTGGCTCGCTCACTTCACTTGGGACTGGTGTGGGTTGTTCGATATTGATTTCACTGGGCTGTGGTTCTTCAGGCACCTCTGGTTCTGCGGGTTCTTCGGATATTTCGATTATTGTCGAGCTTTCCTCCTGACTACTTTGAGCGTTTAAAGGAGGGTTAGAATCATCCGATTTGATTGTGGCACCGTTCTCGTCAGAATGAGAAGACGAGTGCCTTTGGCGATACTTTCCTAGAGCTCGTGATACAGCCCATTCTTGCGAGGCAGAACTGAAGGTAACGGGAGGGAACTGGACGGAATCATCTTTGTTCAAGTCTGACTCGTGTGAGACAGAACTCTTTTTCACTTCGCCGATGGTGACGAAAAGTGAGGCTGCATCTGCGCCATTATCTGAGAATAAATCGGCGCTCTTCTTTTCTCTCGGCTCGAAAATGTTTTCTCTCTCATCGTGGCTCTCTGTGTCGTATTGGGGTTCGGGTGCCGATGGTGCTTTCATAATTTTTTTCTGATGACTGATTTTGCTAAATACTGAATTGTCATTTGGAGTGTCGGAGAAAACACTGTCTTCGCTCTCTTCGCTTGCACGACTCAGCCGTCCACTTAATTCCGGCTCTGACTGCTCAGGGTCTGAAAAAGAGTGTCCGCCGTGCGTTCTCTTTTTTGCTTTATGAAGAATATTAGAGACGGTCATGACGATAGGATGTTTCCGCGTCTTCTTAGGCAACGAACCTATAGAGGACAGAGACTTCAGTCTTGATAGTTTCGATCCCCGTTTGGACTCCTTTTGAGCTGGCATGTCGTCAGGATGAACATCAGTGGGTAATGAATAGGATCTGTGGCGTTTCAAATGTATATCTGGCAGCCATAAGCTCACTTGACTACCTACATGGCTCATGGCCTCTTTCAAACTGCTGCCCTTTCTGAGCTTTTTAGTTTTCTCTTTTACTGGTTCTTTAATGTCCGCCGCAATGGAAATATATCCAGATTTTGAGACAATTACAGAGCTTGGATCATAACCAGTGGAATTGGCTTGCTGGTTGACTGCGTAACTCTTGTTCAGAAGAGATGAATTATAATCGATTGTAGTTTTTTGACTGTACGATGATAAGTCTGAGATCGAGGAATCGGTGTACTGGGGCTGCCCTTGATAAGAGCTTAGGTTATTGTAGCCTAGGCTATCAATGCTTCTAGAGTGCAAATCTCTCCCTCTACTCGAAAGGTGCGCTTGAGATAGACTATAGTTTAATTCTTTGTCATACCTATTACCATCCACTAAATTGCTATCTGGAATGGCACTGCTAGTTGGATAGTATGTCAGAGCATCGGTGATATTACCAGTGGGGAACATTGTTCGATACATGGCATTCTTGTATTCTTCCATATCGGAGAGATCTCCCGTTGGCACAGCACCCGTCGAATATCCCCTGGCAAGTCGCCTGTTCGGGCGAGCCGGACTCGATTGTGATTTACTTCGATGTTCTAAGTATGGTCTATTGGTTGTATGAGGTCCTATCAGATCCGGTACATTCGAGAGTGTGGTTTGTGGAAGAATATTTGACACTCCACTGGTGTAAACTGAGGTGTAGTTCTGATCTCTATCACTGCAGGCCATCGAGTAGATTGCAGGCTGTTGTCCCATCAACCTCTCGTACACATCTGGGTAAGAACTAGGCGCTGCCCCGCTGTCTGTATGCCGTCTGGAGAGTCTAGGGCTCTTGATGTAGTCTGATCTAGGGGCAGGCGAGGGGACAAAATTACTGTACATCCCATTTTGTTGTTGACTACTTTGATAAATGCTGGCATCTTGTGAGCTAAGGCAATTGTAATATCGCTGTTCGTTATCGCTAGAACCTAAAACTGGAATGTATTGCGACGAAACCGAGGAAATTTGAGATGCCCGTCCTATATGGCTCAGATTATCTGCTACATAAGATGTTGGCGTTTTCGACCTCGACGCACTTTTAGGCGATCCGGGTGATTTCTCCAGGCTGGACCATTGTGAACTCATGGACGATAGACCCGAATCGGATTTTGCTTGGATTATATTCGTTGAATTAGATTTGGCTATATGTTTTGGTGATGTTCTAGGTGATTTGGGCGATCGTGGCGTCCTCGGGCTGAGTTTGCCGTGGCTTGGATCCACACTAAAGGTGTTAGAGCTATTAGTTCCTGAGTTATACATATGAAGTGGGCTTACATCTGAGGAGGGTTTAAGAAACGGGTTCGGATCTTGCGGAGCAGGAGGAGGCGGACTACTAGGGGCGGAATTCAGCAGGGACTCTAAATCTGACATTGATTGGCGGGAAGCGCCGATGTAACCGTCTTGTCTCGTTCTCAAGCTCATCGTCGACGGCGAAGGCGATGATATCCTTTCATTCGATGCAGAAAATATGTTTTTATTCAATAGAGAAGCTGTGTTGAACGGAGTGGGGGCAGTGGACGATAAACTTGTTTGGATAGAGTAATCGATTGGATAGGAAGAACTCAGTGGATAACTATCGGAACGCTTCGGTGATAAGGGAAGTGAGCGATTCGACGACGTTTTCCGCAGAGGTGAAGTGGTGCTATCGTGTTTTCCCAGGAGGGAAATATTACCCGTGGACGAGTTGAAGCGAGTCTGCATTCTTGGCGAGTTAGGCGTCGAGAAAAAACCTGTCGGCGTCTTTTTCTCGTAGTCGGTAGCTATTTCTCCGCTGGAAAGCCTTAAATTCGACCCGGAACGGTTCCGACTCCCACTATTGGAAAGGCCCGATATTATCAAAAGCTCGTCGACCGATTTGGGAGAAGAACTCAGATTCCACCTCTCCAGCTCGATCTCTGCATACATCCGCCGGAGCTGCTCATCCACGTCGTTCATTTCCACTTGCTCGGAGACCGAAAAATCGGCTTTGCTGGACGCTAGGCTTTGTTGGTTGAGCAGCTGATTCTGCAATAGTTTCAACTCGCTCGAGTCTTTTTGTAACTTGCTACTAAGCCGATCTAATTCGTGGAGTTTGTTGACAGCCTCTTGATCTAAACCATTCAAGTCGGTTTCTTGACTAATAGCTAATCCGAACCGATAGTCTTTGTACTCTGCACAGCTGTATAAGGATTCTTTCGCCTCGCTCCTGGTTGGATCGCTAGAAAAGTCCTTCTTCGTCCCGTTCTTCCCGTTACTGTCCTCCTCCGACTCCTCCCAAATCATGCCCAACTGCGATACAGCCTGGTTGGCCAAATACGGGAAATTAACGCTCCCTCGATAAGAGGCATCATCGAACGAAGCATCAGTCACACCGAGTTGAGATTTCAGCTGCGCGATGAATGACCGAGGAGACAGAACGCCTTCAGGAGGAACCTCTTGTTGATAATCTATACCGCGCATGCTCTCTAAAGAATCTACCATCGGATCGCACAGCTGCGTCAATCCAAGATTCGCGCTGTAGAACTCGATCAGCTGCGAGATTATGCTCTGCTGCTCGAATAAGAGCATCTCTAGTTTTTCGAGCCGTTCCCACATTTTCACGTACTCCTGCGACAACATGTTCAAGGCCCGCCAAGCGTAAGTCAGCTCGTTCTCCAAGACCCCCAGACGAGAACCCAGCCGCTCGACGTACTCGTCCACGCTGCTCGGTTCGTTCTGCTGCTGCTCATCATGTTGGTGCTGATGCTGCTGCTGCTGCTGTTGCTGGGATGGTGAACCAGGGCGGGAGTAGAGTGCCAGGTGGTTATTGTCTTCCGTCGACTCCATTTCGTTAGCGAATCATCTCGATGAAAAAGTAGAATTTCTGCTTGTCAATAGAAGCTTCTTCGAAGAGGCTCTCTTAAAGCACTGACTTAGCGGATAAAAACCGAATTTAGAATACCCTAAATTTTAGTTGCCCTACATTTTTATTCGAGGGGTTTACAGTTCCTGAATGAAGTGTTTAATTTATAGTTCCATTCCCCGAGAATCCCGATTAATCTGTTTCAGGTCATGATATCATGTCACCATGTTGTTTTGTTTGCACTGCAACTCACTGACGAATTTGGAAGATTAGTCTCCGGCGTTTCTTCATTAAGATACAGGGCTCTCCATTACGACGGATCCAATCGGTCACACCTGTAATACAATATCACATTATTAATACACAGCCGGGATCGGATAAATCCCTCTTGCCGGAAATTGCCACCGTAACGCGCGCTGTAGAAATTCACCGTCGTTTAATTTTTCATCAGCTACACTAGATCGGAGCCAGTAAACCGAAACTTGCAGTATGTTACCACTCACGCCAAAAAATAACCACCAGAAAAAACAAGGGGGATAAAAATTCAACAACGAAATTGAAAGATCGTAAACTGAACGCCGAAAGTCCGTAGACAAAGTTAGACTGGTACTAAAGTTACAACTTCATCGTAACTTCAGTTTACTTAGGTTCAAACCTAAGAATACAACTATTTCGACTTTGGTGTGTTGCACGGTATCACACGTAATTGAAGGCGTTTTGCGCGTTTAGCACCGTTTAGTCAACGTCTGGCGCACGATTTAACTCAATTAGATTTTTGTTCTTTCACGAGGGACGGACTAAATTTACGCCTCAAAACACGTTCAGTACCTTAATTAGGAGTTAGTTCCAGTAATACTCGTTGCGAGAATCGTATTTTGCGTGAAATTTTGGGTAAAAAACATGCATCAGAATGCTTAAATTTGTACCTTCTTTATTGATCCAGTAGGATTTCAGACATCGAATAAGCCCACCTGTTAACTCCAACTGAACCGCGCGCGATTAGTAGAACGAAACCAAGACACATAAGCTATTGCAAAATTTAAGTGGGCAATTTACTCTGTAACAGGAGAACGTTTGTGCGGATTCCTTCGAAAGTTTTAAAGAATTTGCTTCGTACCTCGCAGAAAATACACTGAAATTTTGACGGAAGTCCGCACAACCGTTTTCATCTAAGAAATTAAATTGTCCGCTCAAATTTAGCAATAGCCAATGCGGCTTGGTTTTTCTCTGCTTAACGCGGTCCAACGTTCTTGCGAGATGCGAAGGAGGAGCTCATCAGAAGCAGTGGCGTGGCATGCTTTGCGATATATCGAATGATCTACCATTTAAACCTATGGAAATGGATCGATAAACAGAGTGTTCGCAGCGAACACCTTAATAATCGATTCCTCACCATAGGTTTAAATTACACATCAATCGATTTATCGCAATTCAGGCCACGCCACTGATCGGAAGAAGGTCGACTAAATCGGGATCCTAGTCCAGAAAATCGGTTTTTCGGGCACCGAATAAACCCACCTGCAAACGCGGACTTCCCCCTCGAGATATCAGAGGAGGGGGGGGGGTGCCCGCGGTGTGTCATAAATATTTGCCCGCTCGGAAGTAAAATTCATGAGAAACTGAAAGCTCGGAGTTATCATGGCAGAGAATAAACGGGAAGCAAACGCGCGGCGGTCGAACTGTTTAGGAGCGATGAAGGCGGCAGTTGCAACGACAGCATCACGTCACTCGACTCAACGCGGTGAAGAGCGGGTCTCCGGGATACGTGTGTCGGGAGCCAATGAGGGCGCCGACGCCAACGCACAGTGGCACGGAATCGGAAATGATGGGATGCCGATGGCTTGCTGTGTTTCAGTCACAGCTCCTATCGTCTTTTTTCGCACCGGAAAAAAAAACACATTGGATCTAGAGTCCAGACTCTTAAAAACATTGACAAGAAAAAATACTCTTGATTCAATCGGATTTTTGCTTAAATCAAGAACCCAGCCTCTTTATTAGAGCAGATTTCCTTTTAATTTAAGCTTAAATCTGATTGCATCAAGAGTCCTTTTTCTTGTAAATGTTTTCGAAAGAGTCTGGACTCTAGATCTAATGTGTTTTTTTTCCAGTGCGAAGAGAAACATTTTGGCTTGAAATTTCCACAGAATATTCCGTCAACACAGAAGAAAAATCAAGGAGGTTTTTCAGAGACATTTTAAATTGACTAGTTTTCCGATGACAAAAGCTCATTTAGACGTATTTCTGCCAAACGGAACTATGTGTATTAAGACATGAGCCTTGAGACCCATAAGAATATATACATAACAGAGCTCACGTCATAATGCACATAGTCCCGTTTGGGAGAAACACGTCCATTTGTGGGTGTCCCGAGTAAGTGCACCATTTCACGATGATACCACTATTCGATCACGCGGGAGCTGAGATTGCCTACTCTGAACATTGAAGGCGGCAAAGATAACGATTTTTTTGGACCCCTTCATAATTCAAAGGGGATCACCCTGCCCTGGAAAAAGACAAGAGCCATAAGGATTATAGGGTTGGTGTGGGACTTTTGAATCACCTTATAAAGGTCGCCAAGTGATAAATATTCAGAAATCACATCATTCCGACAGTAGACCGATTTTGGCCCTTATCGGCACCCCTCATTTTTTACTAAATCTGCAAATTTTGATGTTTATTCAGTCACATTATATGTTTTCAGGCGTACTTTCAACGATCTTAAAACTATAGATACGCTAATCCTATGCTGAGCCGTTCTTCGTTTTGTATTAATGAAACTGTAAGCTTTCAATCATGTATTTTTTCAAATGTTGACTTCGTGTCCGACCCTCCCCATCGATCCACCCCTGTGCGACATGCGGCGAAGGGCGGTGACGCTGAGCGATACACGAGCATGATCGCGGCGGCGGCAGTGGCTCCGCTTCGAGCACAGCTGTCGCATCTTTTCCCTCTTTGTCATAACGTCAACGTTCAACGTTCAACGTCCAACGTTCCTCGTTCGCCGGGCGGAATATCATGCTTTCCGCGCACATCCTCCGGCATTGCTGCCTCGGTTACGCTCTATTACGTCGCCATTGTTTACATTCGCTCTCGTCTCACTGCCACACTTTCTTCATTTTTTATGCTGAATCCTTCCGCTCCTTTATTGAGTCCAAATATCCACGCGCTAGTTACAGAATAAGCTCGCATACGAGGATCAACTCGGAAATTAGTTCAGTTTTTGTTCCTGCTCTAAGGCGAGGCTTTGGCTTTCGTACTTGTGCGCAAACACACTGTTCAAGATCGAGGAGTTGAATTCGGTGCCGGAGACTATATAGCGCCTAAAAGCCCCCGAGTGATCTGAATGCGAGGTGAAATCAGCACAATAAAAGCGTATGGCACTCCGCAAAAAGAGTATGTTCCGCTTAGTAATGCTGCCGTGCTAAGGAAAAACGCCGTTTGAGCCTTTAGGTGTTGCCAAATTTCCTTTAATAAAACACGAATCTCTCAGTAAACTTAAGAATATTTTCCTTTCAATTTGTTAGACAATTTTGTTCGCAATTTCATCTAAAAATTCTGAAAATGTCAAGGAAAAATATCCATAGCTTTCCTCAAGAATAAAAATTTTATCGAAGAAAATTTGGCAACTCTCGAATGTTCATACGGCGTTCTTCCTTAACACGGCAGAATGGTGCAACTCATTCAGTAAGGAGAATAGATTCTGCTCCTCATTCATAACACTCGGGGTTGTTGGGCGCTTTGTAGATTCCGGCACAAAATTTTACCCCAAAATTATTTTGACCAGTGAATTTTCCAGTAATTTCTCTTTTATTAAAGATATTACCGATTTTTTCCATTATAAAATTATAAAAAGGAGAATAATTTTGGTTATTCCTCTGCTGTATCTGTGTTCCTTATGTATTTTCTTGCTCTGCTCACTAGAAGCACACTGACAAAATTTTATTGGAACTAAAACGGTGTCGCCTTGTCATCGCTTCTCTGGCGTAAAGACGTGTCTTGATCTCCGCATGAACCCCAGAAAACATGGATTTGTACGTAAAACAGGGCTCACATGGAAAATGAGACTTATCCTTACGTCAGTGGCAGAGGCGAGGCGTGAATGATCGATTATCGATATTTCCCCCATTTGAAGCCACGGTATAGAATCGATTATCATGGTGTCCGTTGAAAACACCTTGTTCATCGATCCTTCTTCATAGATTTAAACGGTTGATCGATCGATATATCGCAAAGCACGCCACGCCACTGGTCAGTGGGGGACGATGTGGCCGTTAGTGGAGGCCAAAGAATAGGTCCGCAGGCTGATTGTTGAAATTGATACAAAAAGCAATAAGTTACAAGCAATGCTTTATCTCGATCTTATTGCGGATGAAATTCCATGAAAAACTTAAGGAAAACGATTCCCAACTTTTTCAAGACATTCGTACCTCATCAAAAGTAACGCGGCAGCATCTCGACGGTGAAACTCCAAAGCCACTTATCTCATTTCGTCGCTCCTCTAGCGTGAAGGCGTATCTCTATTTCCCAGTGAGCTCTGGGAAGCAAGAATGTAAATATGAAACAGTGTTCACGTGGGGATTGTAATACGCCCTTACGTCAGAGGAGCGACGATTTGCGGTGTTTTAAAATCTTACCACTTATTGTTTTATTTTTTAAAGCAGGAAAAATCAACATCATTCCCTGAAGTTTTCATAGAATTTTCCTTGCACAAGGAAAACAAATCAAGGCAGTTTTTAAGAATTGCCGTTGAGTAGTTTTCCACCTAAAAACAAAATATGATAGGAAGTTTGCGACGTCACACCGTGGTTCGAGTCAATTAGAGAGGTCGGGCATGAAATTTTTGACTCAAACTGCAAATTTTGATGTTTACTTTGTCGCATTTTAAATTTCAAGGGGTGCTCATGAAGGAAAATTTCACGAAAAAAAACCAGTGAAACCACTTTTAGAACCTCTAAGTTTTGTATAAACGGAGTTGTAAGCGTTTGAAGTTTCCAAATTTTGTCCTACCTCTCCTATTGATTCGATCTACTGTGCGTCGCAAGCCGATATACGTGGTTTTGGAGTTTCACAGTTGATTTGAACGTTCATATGGCGTTTTTCCTCAGCATAGGAGACTATTTAAACGGTGGCCAAGAACGAGGACTTAATTTAAATAAAACAATGTAGGACTTTTGATTTTTACCCGCGACTCTCGGTTAATCCAGGATAGTTAAGAGGGGCGGGGGTGATTCGTGCTCGCCGGGGGCCGGAACGAGGGTGAGAAGACGGGTAATGAAGGGATGGTGCGCCCCCCTCCGGCGCAGGGAGGGGGGGATCTTAATTGAATTTGCAAGGA